ATTAAATACTGTCCTCCTTTCTTCAGCATGGGGCACTGAATATAATTCCACCTTTTCTTAATGATTTAAGCCCATCATTATAAGCATCTGTTATTGTACTAAATCAGCATTAGTTTGGCTGTTTCCTCTCTATCTAGAATGTACCTGTCCTTATAAACCTTTGGGTTCCTATCTCTTTGACCAGGTTTGGATTTACTTATGATATGCTTTCAAAGCACCTAGACTTCTTCACAGTACTTATTACATTTTGAATTGTACATTTATTTGTGACATTTGATTACTATGTATCCCATACTAGATTATAAGGACCATAAGGGCTTACACCTAGCCCAGGTTTGCTGACCAGTGTATCTGCAGTGCCTCAAAATACAGTGCCTGCTGTATAGTAAGGCTCCCAGTCAATACTACCTGAATGACCAAATAAACAAACACCTACCTCAGTGCTGAGGGCAAGTCTAGGAAGTCAGGGAATCTCTCTAAAAACTACGTTGGAAAAAATAAAAAGTTCCTAAATGAGAATGGAAAGGTACAGAACCCCAGCTTTAGGGTCCTGTGCTGACTATTATGGCTATTAGGACTTTTCCCTCTTCTAATACTTAGAAAAAGTAGAGGTTGTATAGATAAGTGCCCTTTAACCATGAGATCTTGATCACTAAAGCTCAGTTTCCTCCTCTATAAAAAGAGGATGACAATAGCCCCTGCCTCAGTGGGTTACTGTGAGAATTCAATAAAATAATAAAGTGCTCATCACACTGCCTGAACTATAAGAAGTGTTCATGTTAGTTGTTACTATTAGTTGCATGCCACCTTAGTAACAATATGCGATCTTTTACATATGAAGATACTGTTACTAAACCATCACCAAAGCGTATGTACTCTGATCATTCTTTTAGGAATCGTTAAAGGATCTGCTCAGAATACTCAGTCCATCCAACTTCTCCCCCTTAAAACCAATGGCTTTTATCAAAGCCTCATATTTGAGCTTTAAAGTAAACAGCTTGGGTTTCATTCACAATCTATTTTCACTGAAAATACACATTTCTCTGATTCTACTAATGTTACATACAGTGAGTTTATGAATTGTTAGAGATCTGATAGCCCAGAAAGAGGTTATAGAAAATTCCAAAACGGACAGTCCCACTGGAAGTGAAACTATACTTTTTCTTCATATATTACAAAAAATTTCACTTTTCCTTTTATTATTTTAAAGTACATGTAAAATTCTTTTCTATTTTTTGGTAGCTAATTAACTGAAGAGGGAAAACAAAATGCTTTATTACCATTATTACTAACTGTATTTTAAAGAAGCAGCATTAATATCTTAAACTGTGGATCCTTTGACAGTGTTCCTAGCATAGATTTCATAAATCCATATTGAGCTTTCAGCTTATCATATTTACTGTAACAGTAATTTTCTTCTAAAAATGTATTACTTTCAAAATATTTCCAAAGTGCTGAATGTGCTTCTAGTTGAGGATACATAACTTTACATGATGCATATTGCAGACAAAGTTCATCTCCACTATAGGTTTAAAGAATATAGATATCTCAAGAACAACAAAGAAAATTAACTTTTTCCCCTCCTTATCTAACTCCCTAAGAATTCAAATTACAAAACCAACCAAGAAACCATCTACCTTAACCTAGCAGTCTGTAAGGATAAGTAAAAGATATGGAAGCTCTCAAGCTTATGTATGTTGGCAAAATTAAATGACCTTTCCTTTCAGGTAGCTCTGAACTTTAGACTCAAAGTTTTAACTGTTGCTGGAGACCATGGAGCGATGATGCGCTGCTTTGGAGTTTCTCAGTCACTCTATCTTGTTTCACTGTGCTTTTGATGACTTCAGATACCCCGTTGGTTCCAAGGATGCAAGGCAAACTTAAGAATACTTCACTATTTATATCATAATATCCCTGAAATGAATAAAATTAGATTATAATAGAGCTGAATCATTGCAAACAAGTTAATATCATAAATATGGTTACTTTCTTCCTCTTAACTCTTGTACAAAATCATACAGTTGAACTTTTTAAAAAATTTTGTTCATTTATTTTCTAAACTCAAGTTATTATTTCAGAAATTTTTTTAAGATGGGAGGAACTTGGTCAAAGACATCCCCTTTGTGGGAAGGGAAGCTAGCCCCCTGCAATATGCGTAGCAGAAAAAATATGGGGGGTAAGAACAAAGACTGTCAGAGTAGATTCCCAGGGGAGGGGCATAGAATGGGCTCTGGGTACAGTCAAATACAATAACCTGTTTTAAGTTTTCCTTTCCATGTTTTATTTCTCCTGGTATTCCTAAGTTTTCAAGAAAATTTGGCTAAGCATTTGTGCCTGGTCTTAGCTGTGCTTTTGAGACTTTATGCTTGAGATTAAGGGGTAAAGGACAAACTGAACTGGAGAGTACAAACTGATGACCAGCTAAGACCACAGGGCAGGTCAGTAATCTGCGGTGACCTGGCTGGCTAAGGTGATAAATGACAACCAGAAGAAATTTATGGAATATATAAATGCTTCTTGGAAATTCCCCAAAATTACATGGGAATGGTAGAAGTCCAGAATTTCCACAGCCAAGCAGGATAGGGCTTAGACCAAACTGTCTTCCCATGTGTTACTTTAGCCTGGCTGGCGTGGCTCAGCGGTTGAGCATCGACCTATGATCCAGGAGATTGCGGTTTGATTCCTGGTCAGGGCACACGACTGGGTTTTGGGCTTGATCCCCAGTAGGGAGCATGCAGAAGGCAGCCTATCAATGACTCATCATTGATGTTTCTATCTCTCTCTCTCCCCCTCTTCCTTCCGCTCTCTGAAGTCAATAAAGATATATTTAAAAACAAAACAAAACCCAAAAAAATAAAATAAAACCATGTATTACTCTAAAAACTGGTGACACTGAAGACACCTGGTTACAGTGTGAATAGCACCTTTTCTGGTTTTACACTAATAACATAAAAGTTTAAAAATATGATGAGAGAATGAGGATAGCAATTACCTTTGCTAAAATTGATACAGAATGCACTTTCTTTTTATCATTTACAAGACTGTCAACCAGATCAGCTACTGATAGTCCGACAGACCAGGATTTTTGGCCTTTTACCCTTAATAGTTCCATGGCTCTAGGTTACAAACAAAACAAAACAAAGACAACTCAGAAAATGAATAAAATATGCATTTAGTTTTACCTTCTGTTTAAAGTATTAATTACATATTTTTATAACACAGAAATAAGAGTTATACAGTAATTATTAGGAAAACCTACAGATAAACTAATGATTAAGGTTTTTCTTAAAATGTCAGATGGGCAGTTCACAGAGGGACAATACAAATGGCTGAATAACAGCCCGGCCGGTGTGCCTCAGGGGTTCAGTATTGACCTAGGATCCAGGAGATCGAGGTTGATTCCCAGTCAGGGCATATGCCTGGGCTGAGGGCTCAATTCCCAGCAAGGAGTGTGCGTGCAGGAGGCAGTGTGCAGGAGGCAGCAGATAAATGACTTTCTCTCATCATTGATGTTTCTATTTCTCTCTCCCTCTCTCTTCCTCTCTTTGAAATCAATAAAAATATACTTAAAACAAACAAACAAAAATACAAATGGCTTACTAACATAAAAAGATGCTCACCACCACCAGTTAACTAAACGAGTTAAAACAATAAATACACCACTTTTGCCTATCAAAATTGGCAAATATTAAAAAGATTGGTAACTACTTTTAGAGAAGCTACAGAGAAACAGGCATTCCCATAACTGCTGGTGAGAGTGTAAAGTGATGTAATCTTTAGGAAAAAGATTTGGCAACATCTGACCTAGAAATTCTTCTTCTAGGAATTTGTCCTTATAGCAATATGCTCAAGTGTGCAAAGATATACATATAATTATATTTGCCTTGCTTGAGACAGAAAAAATTTTTGAAACAATTAATCAAAAGTGACTGGTTAAATAAATCACTATCCAATGTAGTGCCATGTATCTAGAGAAGAATAAAGTAGATTTATATGTACAATATGGAAAATGTCCAAGATTTATTATTAAGAAAACAAAGCAAGTTGGAAGATAATACAAATAACATAGGTCTATTATTATAAAAATAATAAAAACAATGATGTTTGCAGAAGGTTTGAACATGTGAACACTAAATTGTTAGTAGCTGCTTCTAGAGAATGGAATTACCCCACCTTTTGACTTTCTACTTTATAGGTATCTGCAGTATTTAGAGTTTTATAATAGCATAATTATTTTGGTTAACTAATAAAAAAATTAAAAAATTTAAAAAACATGTTTGAATTCCTTCCTTTTAAAAGCTATAAATGCAGGGTTATATAAAGAATCAGATTAGAATAGAATGTACAACATACTCCTTTTATCAATAAGAGAATATTCTTTCCAGTTAAAAACCACACACTGAAGGTTTAAAAAGCTAAAAATCTCCACCACTCAGCCTGTAGGAAAGTATGTCATTATGTGATGGTGAAACAACAAATGGCATGAAAATATATGTAGAGTCCAACCTATAGGCTCCATACCCCCAGAAGGCTTCTGAATAAAGTGAAAGATACAAGGTTCTGTGCATTATACTTTGTTTTTGCCTGCACTTATAATATGGCTTATCCATTCATGTTAGACTAATTTCTAAATGTATTCATGTGTGATTAATAAGTGCATGTTCTTTTTTAAGTGGTATGCAGAAATTTTCTTCTACATTTAAGAAAATTCTCAAAATCCTCAGATGTTTAGATATAGGAGCAGTACATTACTATCTACAAATCAGGAACCAATTCTACCCTTTAAATGTCAACTGTGTATCTGAAATAAAGTTTGCAAAGCACTCTCAGCTTCACTTTCAGATAAGAAATCAAAGAACAGAAAACATTGCTCCCTTGTACTTCTGGATTTGTCCATACTAGCTAGTTTTATCTGCAGAAGCCTGGTCAACAGCTCTTATGTTAGCAACAAAGGACATCATTGTTGGTTAAATGCAAATTTACACTCAGTGTTACCTGCTGGATAGCTGTACCTGGGAGTTATGACTCATTACTTCTTCTTGGCCACCCCATGTGGTCACTAAAAAGTAAATGAATAATTATATTTTGTCAATAACTCTCTTAGGATTAAGATGTGATGATTGTTTGTAGTCAAAGGTACCTGCATTAAACATTAAATAAACACTTTTTCCCCTTCTAGCAATAGTTACATTTTCCACCGATGACACACTAAATGTGCTGTACCGACTGCCTGGGGTACGACTGAGCTGCAATTCCCAAAACATATGGTGAGGAATAATATGAATGACCTTTGGTCACGAGATGGTGTCTAGATTAGTCATTCATTTCAAAACACATGTACTGAGACCATTCCAAGGAGCGTACAGTCTGATGGGGTAAACAGGTAAATATGCAGTTATAACACAGTGTGATGTTAGCGGCATAAACTTACTTAACCTGGATAATTAGGGAAGGCTTCCTGGGAGAGGTGGCACTCAAGCCCAGTCTTGAAAGGTAAGCAGAACTTAGCCAAGTGAATGAATGTTCAGGGAAAAGAAGCATCAGGTGCAAAGGCAAGGAGGCAAGAGAGCGCATGAACCATTCAGGAAACTGCAAGTTGACCATCTGACTAGCACAGAATGCCTGGCAGAATGGCAGAAGATGAAGCTGGGGAAGGAAGCAGGAAACAGCTCCTAAAGGGTCTTGTATCTCATGTGACTTCTCCCCTAGGCTGTAGTTGTCATTTGTCTCTAAAATAGTTGAAGAGAATAATTTTACTTACACATCTGCTATTATTATGTTTCCAAATCCTAATGTTGCTTTACTTCAAAGTAGTTTTACATGTTCTTTTGCCAATTTTTTATTCATAACCATCTTGCTGATTACTGTAATAATAATCAAGTGTTTACTTGATGCCAGACACTGTATTAAATGCTTTAGATAAATTATCTAATTAAGTCACAGCAAGAAAAAGTATAGCTTTGGAGTCGATCAGGGTTCAAACCTCAGTTTTGCCCTTACTAGATGTATAATCACAAACAAACTAGTTAACCTGAGTTTTAACATTCCTCATCTATTAATCTGAAAAATCACCCACTTCCTTCTCAGAGTGAGATATGCAAACCATTTAATACACATAGTAGCCACTCAATATAAGATAATTATAATTGCTGTTACTGTGGTAGAATCACTTACACAAAAATATAATCAGTTGGTATCTACACATGAAACCAGCAGAGGGAGCCTCTTATCCATTTCTGGCTTCAGGCCCAAGCTAAGTATACCAATTCATGGATACCACATCTCTGACACAAAGTAGAAGACAGGATAAAAAGTGATCTGACAGTGGTATCTAAATGGAAGACAGGGAGATGGGTTGGGAAATACATAGGTAGCTTTAGTGGTATCAGTACTGTTCTTAATAATTGAGTGTGGATTTTTATGTGTCAAGTATTACATATTATACTTAAGTGATCCCAATTTACATGCACCTACACCTCTTATTTCTAGTTCCCACTTGAGAACTGAAGACAGAATTACCATAGCCTTCCTTGTGTTTTTATCCTACTTCCCTTGGACCTCTCTCATAGCAAGTCAATACTGCCTTCTATTACAGTCATTTCCCATATTAGATTCTAAGCTTCCTAAAAACAAGGTCAGGTTCTTATACATCTATATAGTTCTAACAGCAGTCAGCACAGTGGCTTAGGTTTATTTATTGTCATACCACACTTTATTTTCTCTTTACAATTTGTGACATTAATGCAACCATATTGTGAAAAATTCTAATTCATTCAAAAATTGTAACTTATTAGAGGGACTGACTGGTTAAATAAATTTTGGTATATCCAGTAGTTTTAAAAAATGAAGTATATATATAGTAATCATTTCCAAGTCATATCAATAAGTAAAAGGGCAAGATAGAGAATAACATATGATTTATATTTCATATATGTGCTTCTCTATGCACAGAACATTTCTGTAAGGTTACACAAGAAACTGGTAACTGATTGTTTTTACAGAAAGAGGACTGGGTGTCTGGCATAGAAAGGAGACTTAATTTTCACTGTATATCTTTTTGTTTATTTAATTTTTTTGAGATGTGAATGCATGACTTTTTCAACTAGAAGACAGCTTAATAATTTACACTTTTAATAAGGAGAAAGTGTAAACACAAAATTCAAAATGGATCAGAATAAACAGCAGTTTCACAAAAGAATAAGCATCATGAGACAATATATGGTTTATTACCATATAGCTAACAACTACTTCTAGCTCAAAGGACTGAAAAAAAATCCCTGTGGAGTGATGTCATCAGGAAAAGCTTCATAGTATACGTAAGGTGGGCCTGACCGAGACCTTGAAGGATGAGATTTAAATTTGCTGAGAGAGAGGGAGAAGGGATTATGAAGGAGGTAAAAGGAGTGGGCAAAGATCCCTGTGGCTGAAGCAAAGCTGTAAGTAGGGTGGGGCTGGGAGCCACAAGACCTGGGCTTTAGTCCTTAGACCAGGAAAGCTATAGGTTCCTGGGCAGGTCACTCTTACCATCCCTGCATCCATTTCTGACTCCTTAAAACAAAGTATAATTGATGATCCCTTGGGTCCCTTCCAGCTCTTCAATAACATGATTACCTTCATAACTATAATAGAGAAGGAAGATTAGGGCTATATTTTGGGACTCCTTGAATGCCAAGTAAAGGAATTTAATGATTTTCAGAGGAAGCCAGTGAAAGTTTTCGAAAAGAGGAATATGATTTAGGAAGACTGAATTAATATATGAAAGCATATAGTAAATACTGTGTAAGTTTTGGTTAATATCACTATTAATTTGGTAGACTAGAGGGGAAAGAGCAAACTAATTTGGAGATTGGCAATAATCAGATAAACAAAAGATTGACATGGACCAGAATTCAAATGGAGTAGTGAGAAAACTCAGGTTGTGGGTCTGTTTGAATCCCTAGACATTCGTTACTCTAATACGTCTGCTCCAAGTTCTTGTTTGCTACCCTTTTCTAGGGTTCTATTGGTTAGTGTTTAGTGTTTAGCATTTTCAACCTGAGAAATACTTCTGCTTGAATTACACTGTGAGGTTTTGTAAAGGTTTATTCTAGAGTCTGACTCTTTCCGGCACTGAACTTTCTAGGTAGCCAGTGCAGATTTATACAGATTTAAAATACTGCTGTATTTTCTTAAAACAATTTTCTTAAAAATTATATAAATACTACATACCCATAATGACAAAATTAGAAAACACAGAAAAGTACAAATTTTTAAGTTACCTCTATCCCAGACATAACAGCTGTTAATTTTTGGCATCAAAGCACACAAGAAGTTTTAAATTTTAAGAAAATAATTTTGAGGAAATATAAAACTTGACTGAGGAGTTTTGCCTAATGGTAAACTTACAGAATGGTCACTAGTGATTTAGGTTATCAATATAACTAGTAAAAATGTATTTCTTACCTTTGTCTTCTCCATGCTCACCAATGACCCATATTGGTTTTCCAGAAGTCTGTGCCTTCAAAACATTTGTAATTATATACTGTATCCTCTGTGAATCCAGATTGCATCCAATTCCAATCACTCGATTTGCAGGAAACGTACTCAGTTTCCATGTCACGTAGGTCATGATTTCCACTAAATATTGCACACAAGGTAAAAATGTAAAGATTTTTAAAAATACACTTCTAGCCTAGTTCAAAAACAAGTATTTATTATTTTAATAAGTATATTAGAACTTGTATATACTCTTCTTAGGTCCTAAATGCACTATAAGGCATAATATATTTCTAATATATACTAAAAACATGAACCAGGTTTTAGCATGATTTAACATAATTTTGTTGTTAAATATAAATTGTTAAGAGTGGAAAATAATTTCCTAGAATAGTTAAGCAAGAAGGATAAGAATGAGGTACAGAAAACTAGACGATAATTTTTTTTCGTTGATCAAGTTCTCTTTTACATCTATCTTAACTTGAATTTCTATCTTCAAATTATTGATTCCTATACCACCACTATACAGTATAGGATTATGAACAAAAACACAACTACTTTTTTCTTACATGCCAGAAGGATGTCAGGAATTAAAGAGACCAGTGTCCCTCAACCAATTACTACAGGAAAACAAGTGAAATGCATACCATACTCCTGCACTGGGAACGTTTAAAAAAATTTGTTCACCAATTTGAGTCCAGTACCACACCTAATGCTTTAAAAATATTTTAAAATATGGTAAAACAGTTTCAAACAATTTAAAATACAAAAAGTACTCTGGCATGCTCGCTAACATTTATGACACTTCAGAATTAACAAAATATCTTTCACATAAGCCACTGCATTTTTCTCTTGGGAGTTGAACCATTTTTCACTAAGAAAAGCATGACTAACAAGCTGGAACATAATTATAGTAGTATTACATAAAAAATTATCATTTGTAGCTTTCTAGTTAATGCCAGTCATACGAAGTCACTGTATGAGAGGATATGGAAATATTGCATTGGTCATTATAAGAGCATTTTAACTGAATACTCTAGTTGTCCCTTTATAATATAGTTTTAAGACTTTTATCAGTAATGGCAATTCTATTGATGCACTGGGCTAACAAATTCACTTAAAATAAAACCTTTTACCTGGTTGAGATGCAACAAGCAGGACACTGTGCTGACTATAATGTCCCAGAGCTGGGACAAGGGCTCTGAACATATCCACATTTCTCTGCACTACATCAAGGTAGGACTGAGAGCTACCCAAAGAGTTAACTGTGAAGATGACCACCTTGGAATGAGCAGAGGCAGACAAATCTAAGGAATAAAAAGAAACAGTCTGAGCTCAAGACGGGTTTTAATCAAGTTTATGTTCATAAAGAAGGTTTTTTTTTTCTTCAAGTAGAGACCTTCTAGCACAAATGCCAGATCAATCTCTTCTCCAGTGAAAGTACACAAAGCGCTAAGTTTGCCACCAGAAAGAGGATGAAGAACAGGGTGTATCTCAAGGGGAGGAAGAGCAATAAAGATAAACCAGATAAATTATGGGATCCAGGACCCATAAACAAGGAATTAGTTTTTTTGTGTTTTTTTAATCCTCACATGAGGATATTTTTCCCATTGATTTGCAGAGAGAGTGGAAGGGAGGGAAGAGAGGGAAGAGAGGAGAGAGACAGAAACATCGATGTGAGAGACACATTGATTGGTTGACTCCTGCATGTGCCCCAACCGGGGCCTGGGAATCGAACACGAGACCCTCCGGTCTGTAACCAATGCTCTAACCACTGAGCCAAACTGGCCAGGGCAGGAATTAGTTTTATGTATTCACAATTTTATTATGGAAAATAAAAAATATGCTACAGGCAAAATAAACTTATAATCAAGTATATCATTCATTTTTAACCTTTGAGCTTAGGAGTCCTAGAGTTCCTCAAAAGTGATTCAAAGGCCATTTGGGCGGACTGGGAATAAGTGAAAAAAAGGCAGGTAGGCACAGCTCCAGGACATTTACTTTAACTTCTCCAAGCAGGGTAGTTCTGCTAGTATCTGTTTTATTTATCAAGGATTCTACTCCAACGAGGAAAAAAATGGTATGAAAATCTTTAAATCAAGATAAAGATTTAAAGATCTTGGCTCATTTTTTACTGATTTTATTTTTTCTTTGTTTTAAAATATGTTCTTATTGATTTCAGAGAGAGGAAGGGAGAGGGAGAGATACAAACATCGATGAGAGAGAAACATCGATCAGCTGCCTACTGCATTCCCCCTACTGGGGATCGAGCCTGCAACCCAGACATGTGCCCTGACCAGGAATCGAACCTGTGACCTCTTGGTGCATGGGAGGATGCTCAATCAACTGAGCCACACCAGCTGGGCTACTGACTTTTTCTTATACTGAAGCTGCGTCCTTGGTTTTAAATTCTTTCAGTGGAACTTAATGCATTAGCAACTGTTATGACTCAGGAAAAGCTGTTCTCTGGAGTTCACTGCTGCCCAGCCTGAGTGGCTCAATTGGTCGAGCATCGTCCCATGCACCTGTGTGGTTGCTGGTTTGATTCTGTCAGGGCACATGCCTGGGTTGCGGGTTCAGTCCCCAGTCAGGGCATGTAGGAAGGTAACTGATCAATGTTTCTCTCAACGTCTCTCTCTCTCTCAGCATGTCCTCAGGTGAGGACTAAAAGAAGGACCACTGGTCTTGGAGTTCACTGCTGTGATCCTCAAGTGTACATACACTATTTTACCACATCACTTTCTGTTACAGTGTGCTTTACAGTAAATATATGCCAAACAGTGGCCAGACACTAGCAACATCAGAAACAACAGAAAAATAATGAAGCAACCAGAATGGCATTAGTTCAATCAATCTTTGTAAATGAATATTAGCATCCCAGGGAGACGCCAGGGTTTATAGTCTTAATTAAGCCTCTAAGGCCATCTTTCTAAACAGGTTTCAGAAGGAAACACTTGTGCAATGTGTCCACTGGGAAATGCACTCCCAATTTTAGTTCATAATCTAATGCAATTGTGGGGATGGTAGCTCCAAAAACTGACTCATGGATTTTAATTATGGTTTTTAATGAGTCCTCTTAAGTAATTCCTGTGTTCTAGGGTTCAAAATAGGCATCTGGTGATGAGTCAAAATCTCAAGAATTGGAAGACAGTAGAACTGGAAGGGATATATAGTTAAGACTTCCCTGCCACTTTGATGTGCCAGGTATTGTTCTAAGAGCTTTCCCTATATTTACTCATTTTATCTAAGCTACAACACACTATGAAGTTAATATTATCCCCATTTGACAGATCTGAGGCACAGAGAAGTTAAGTAACTTGTTTAAAGTCTCAGAACTAGTTAAGTAGCAGAGGCAGAATTTTAAGCCCAGGAAATATGACTTCAGAGTGCTGTTAAGCACTGTGCTATATTTGCAAACTTAGTTCTGTAATCTCATAAAGATGAGGAAATTGATACCTGGGAAGATCAGGTGGCTTGTCAATATTACTAAATATCAGTGAGTGGTTCAACTTATGATCCTATCATTTGGCCCCAACCTACCTTGCCAGGACCATTTCTTTTCCCCCTTTAGCTTCCTCTACTTTGAATGATAAAAATGCCTCACCCTCAAGGTTGACTGATGAGTAACAAGAGTAGAAGCTGTCTAATGTTTCAAAAGTGCAAGAAAGTCTTCCTACTCCATATGATTTCCTATCAAGCTCCCAAGTTCTTCAATCTCTCCATAGGCCTGGGGTAGATGTCAGGCATCTATCATTTTAAAAAGCACCTCAGGTGATTCTAACACAAGTTATTAATCCATAAACCATGTTTTAAAAATCACTGGCTACTGAGTAAATTTTACTTTGCTCATATGTCAACAACTTTTTAAATTTATGACTATTGAACACTTTTCTCTATGCACACACATGCATATACCTATACACACAAACATTTATGCTTGTATATGCAGAGATTATTTCTGGAGTAAGTAAGAAATTGGTAACAAAGCCCAGCTCAGCCACTTATTAACTGTGTGACCTAAGCCACAATCTCTCTGAACCATCTATAAAATAAAGAGAAGGAAGTGTGAACATATGTAAAGTATCTAGCATATGTTATTGATTTCCTAAAATAATGGCAGCTGTTATTATTAAGGGATAAAAGACAAGCATAATAGTGTCTTCAGTCAGAAAATGACATGATCGCCTGGCCGGGTGTGGCTCAGCAGTTGAGTATCGACCTAGGATCCAGGAGAGCAGGGTTTGATTCCTGGTCAGGGCACATGCCCGGGTTGTGGGCTCGACCAATGATTCCCTCATCATTGATGTTTCTGTCTCTCTCTCTCCCTCTCCTTTCCTCTCTCTGAAATCAATAAAGATATATTTTAAAAAAAGAAAGAAAAGAAAATGACATGATCAAATTAATATCATAGGAGAATTATTTCACTGGCTATGTTTAATACTGAATAAACGTAATTAAAAAATAGAAACAGGAACCCTTATGCAGTTAGTGAGAGTATAAATAGGTACAACTTAATAATACAAATTTTAAAACACACCCCTTTTGACCCAGTAATTCTACTTTATCCAACTAGTTAGAGAAGTACACAAGGAATTTTGCGTTACAATGTTTTTGGAAGCATTGTTTGTAATCACAAAAGTAAAAACAACATGCCCTGGCCGGAGTTGCTCGATGTGTTAGAGCATCAGTCCATGCACTGAAGGGTCGTGGGTTGGATCCCTGGCCCCAGTTGGGGCGCACGTGGAAGGCAACCAATCAATGAGTCTCTTTCACATCGATGTCCGTCTGTCTGTCTCTCTCCACCTCTCCCTCTCTTGCACTTTCTCTAAAAAAAAAAATCAATGGCAAAAAAGATTGTTGGGTGAGGATTAACTAAAATAAAATAAAATGAAATAAATAATAACATAAAATAAATAAATAAAATCAATATCCAAATAGAGCCAAGTACAACTCTAAGATGATCAGTGAATTGCAATCATCAATGCCTTTTATGATAGGACATTACTAAAATTTCCAGATGAGTTTAAATTCCCCAAATTATTAATGCAGTTCTTTATAGCATAGAATATATTTATGAAATGTTAGTTAACATTATATTTAAAATTATTTCATGTTATAGTAATTAAATTAAGTATTATCAGGAATGTGCAACCAAAATTAACATGGGCAACATGAAACTTGCCCCAAGATAGGATGCACTCATTCAACATTCCCTATTTGGTGGCAAGCACCATGACCTATATATCTACTCCAAGGATTCTATTATTTCAATTATCTGAAACAATAGTTATTGATGGTTAATGAGACCCATAGGCAGAAACAATTTCCTCATGTCCTAAATGGCCTCACAACCTCTAGAGTCCATGCACTAAAAGTTCCCTAAAGTGATTTGGAAGAGTTAAAACGTCCCTTAAGAACTTCAGTACCTGGAAATGACAGGCTCAAGAGACTATCCAAGCTCCCCCAGGGATCCTCTGTATTAGGCTTACAAAAGGATCATTAAAGCAACTATTATATTCTTTCTAGAGAAGGAAAATGAACTCATTGCATCCTACAGGGATCTAGGGCAGGGGTGGGGAAACTTTTTTCTGTCAAGGGCCATTTGGATATTTGTAACACCATTCATGGGCAATACAAAATTATCAACTTGAAAATAGCTATGAAAAAACCTCCTAGATTTATTGAATTTTGAATCCCACCTGCAGTTGCCTTGGCAGAGCCAGACCAAATGATTTCACAGACCAGACATTCCCCATCCCTGATCAAGAGCCTTGCTAGAACTATTATAGCCATTTTTATGTTTTTAATTGACTTTTAGAGAGAGGAAGGGAGAGGGAGAGAGAGATAGATACATTGATGAGAGAGAAACATCGATCGGCAGCCTCCTGCACCGCCCCCCCAGGGATCGAGCCCACAACTGGGCATGTGCCTATGCTCACAAAACTGAACCACACCAGTAGGGCTACACCCAATTTTTATAACCTAAAGGTATCATTCAACTTTTCTGACCCTCTGTTGTTCTTAGTACATTTAGGCTTGTGAAACCATTATGTCTCAACATTTTATTTGGAAAATATGGTCAAGGAATACAGGGGATCTAAGGCAAAGGAAAGCCAAACAACTACATCTTACAACCTGACTTCCACTATAACTTGCTTTTGGAAGGTTAGAGTAAACACTCTAGTGTTCAGAGTATTTAAATTAAACACTTTCTAGTCCAACGGTCTTCTAATATTTTTGATCATGCATCCCTGGTAAAAAAATATTTTTAAGCCCACATCCCCAAATACAGTATTTATCTACATATATATGTCTGTACTAATACATTACATACATTATAAAATATCATTAAAAATGAGATAAAATTACTTTAACATTAAAAAACTTATTTACTGATACAAAAATCCTTTGTTATTAAAACTTGTTTTAACAATATGTTTTTAGTGAAAGCAATGTAAATTGAATTTTTGTAAAGAATCTTGATTTAGCACTTTTGCTATATACCAAGAAGTAGGTATTATTCCCACTTTATAGATGATAAAACTGAACTTTGAGAGATTATATAATCTGACAAATATTAGAGCTATAATGTGGCAGAACTAGGATGCAAACCCCCATCTTTCTAACTCTAACACCAGTGTTCCTAACCAATATATTACGAAAAAGGAAGCAATCAGAGGAAACAATTTATACTAAGATGAGACACATAGAAAGAAACAATTTCTTCATGTTCTAAATGGCCTCACAGCCTCTAGGGTTCATGTAATAAACAGTCCCCTAAGTGATTTGAAAGAGACAGAGAATAAATCCTGACCATATGAATATTATTCCCTTATCTGATTCCTGTTAATATAATCAGTTGCAGTCTCTGTATGACTCTGGGTAAGTCACTTAACTTATCTGAATCTCAGTTTCCAAATATATAAATTGAGGGATTTGGACTAGGTGATTTTTAAGGTACTTTCAGTACTAAAACTCTAGTACTCTAGGCAGAGCAAAGAGGATTCTTAGGGCAGTGAAGCAACTCTCCATGATATGATAATGGTGAATACATGTTATTATAGATTTATCCACATCCATAGAATAAACAATGCCAAGAGTAAATTCTAATATAAACTACAGACTTGGAATGATAATAATGTTTCCAGGTAGGTTTATCAATTGCATCACTCGGGTACGGGATGTTGACAATGGGAGAGGCTATGCATGTGTGGGAGCAGGGGGTATATATGGAAAATTTCTGTACCTCCTGTTCAATATTGCTCTGAACCTAAAACTGCTCTACAAAATAAAGTATATTTAAAAAATTCTAGGACTTAATACAAGAGCAAATAAGACATACATCTTTTAAGCAGAAAAACCAGACCTTTGCTGATCTCCACATTAGGCAGGTTGAAGATCTCAAGGTCCATCATCCCTCCTGTAGTCCCTTCTGAAAGGTCTAAGAGGACAATTCTGTCTGCAATGCTCTGTACAGTACAACAAGAAAAAGAACAGCATTACACTGGACATGCCCAGTTACTCAATTTAAATTCATTCAGAAGTGTGGGCTACGGGAGAATACACAGGCCTCATGTCCTGTGTTATGAAGCAAAAGTTAACACAATAATAAAGGGCCACGCAAGGAAGAAATTATTATTATTTTTTAATTTATTAAATATATCTTTATTGACTTCAGGGAGAGCAAAGGAGAGGGAGAGAGAGAGAGAAACATCAATGATGAGAGAGTCATTGATGGGCTGCAGCCCACAACCCGGGCATGTGCCCTGACCGGGAACTGAACCCTGATCGCCTGGATCCCAGGTCGATGCTCAACCGCTGAGCCACGCCCAGCCGGGCAAGGAAGAAATTATTATGCACTTGAGTAATGCAATCCTTTAGGCTTGACTGAGAACTGAGATCTAACAGGGCTTAAAACAGAAGTCACAGAATGCAGGTTTCTTCTGATGGGTCGAGTAATAGAGATGACTCGGTGTACTCAATATGTTTGCTATTTTTCTTGAGTGTATGTTTTCATTTTGATGCTATAATTTACATTCTAAAAAAAATTAGAGTGATTTTTTTGGTCTACTTTAGCACATTTCTAGCATGAAAGTCAACAATAATGCCAAATTTCTCTTAAAGGATAATAGCCATAAATCTAAAATACAATACAATTACCATGCAGCACTCTCCCCAGAGAGCTCATAGAAAACATCTCCACATGCCTGTAGATGGCTCCTTGGGTGCCATGGTGGGCTGGCTTCAAATGACAATATGGAATATCCTAAAGGTCAGATTACCTTTGTGGAAGGTCTTTTTCCAGAGTAGTAAGGGATCTAAGGATCTCTCCCATTTTAGAGTGCAGGGACAAGAGTACTCAGGAGTCTACCAGACTACGGGGAAGAAAGTATAGAAGTTAAGAAAACAACCCAGCTATACTTATTAGCTCGGTAAGGCTGGGCAAGTTACTAAACTTGGCCATACTTCATGGGCTGTGAGGATTAATTATGTGACATAGGGCTGGCAGAGAGTAGTCCTCTCTAAATCGTACCTATTAATTTTATTATTGTTTACCACTTGTAAGAGAAATGTAAAGAAAGCTGTTACCATTTTTCATTTATCAGACATGCAAAGATCCAAAAGTTTAACAACTGTAAAAAACAGGTATTTTCACACACTGTGGATATGAAAATAAATTGGTATAACTGATGTGAAGGATAATTTGACAATTTCTATCAAAATTTAAAAACACAGTAACTCCTTTAATCCATAAATCTCATTTACATAAATCGCCCTACAAGTTTATTAGTAGATGTAGGATAGTGATACAGTATGTATAAGGATATTCAAAGGCTAGAGGGAGCATTTGAGATCTTGCTCCCAACATAGGTCATCACCAAGCTCAAATAAACTCATTAAAAAAAAAAGACTAGAAACAACCGAAATGTCCATCAATAACAATAATAATAATGAAGCGGTTTAACACAGTGGTTTAGAGCAGAGCTTCTCAAGTTTAAGGGATCACACCTAAGAGATCAGTGAAGCACATGGATCACCAGGGATTTTATTAAAATGCAGATTTCTACTGTAGGTCTGTAGTGGCACCTGAGATTATGCATTTCTAATAAGATCTCAGATGATGTCAATGCTGCTGGTCTGCAAGCCACATCTGAGTTGTAAGGATCTAGAATATAGGTTCTATATGTAAACTGCCTAGCTTCAAATCCTCCCTCCATTTATTAACAGTGCGACTTTGGGCAAATTAGGTAATCTCCCTATGCCCTGGTTTCTTCATTTGTAAAATGGAAGTAATGATAGTATCTAAGCTATAGGATTGCTGTAAAAATGAGTCAAGTGTTTAGACGAGGACCTGGCACCTAAACATTCAGTAAAGGTTAGTTACTGCTGCTACCACCACTACTACATACTACTGTCACTATCCTGACTGCTATTGTACTATTTGAATATTGTTGCACTATTTGAATATTGTTACCTTGTATCAAAATATTGTTTTAAAAAAAAATTTTCCATCTAGACAGCTCACAGAGAAAGAAATACTGACAGTGAGACTTTTCAAACAGCTAAAGAAACGACTTTAACCTTTATCCGATGAAAGGGAACTTTAGTTCCCGGCAAGGAGTGGGTCCCGCTGGCCGAATTTAAATGCTGACAGAATTTAAATGCCGTCTTTTAAAGGTTAAATACTCAGAAACCTAAGCATATACGTTCTTTTTTACAGGCAAAAGGAAAGACACCATTATTTGTACAGTTGATCCTGGAAAATATATGGAGTTTGTATGATGCTGTCTTTTAAATGCCGTCTTTTAAAGGTTAAGAGGCCTTCCTGTACTTAACAAAAACAAAGAAAACTGATAGAACTCAGTACTGTTAGGGATGTCAAAAATCTGGTTGATGTGCACATTGTTATTAGCAGCATAAATTAGTTCTGCCTTTCTGAAGAGCAGTTCTGCAATATGTATTAAGTGTGATAAAAACCATCCGTGCCCTCTGACTCACTAGTACTATTTTTGAGATTATGCACACCTAAAAAAAAATTCAGATGAGAAAATAAGCAACTTGTAAAGCAATGTTTACAGAAGCACTCTATTTAGTAACAAAAGAACTGAAAACAACTGCAATGCCAATTAAAACGGAACATTATATTCAGATAAAGGGTGGAGGAAATGAAACTATAATATGCCAAAAGTTAGCATATATTTTTCTGAGTAGCCAGCTTTAATATTTTCTAGCTCCCTGGATACAATTTAATTATTTGCTGAAGTAGAACCTACCTCCAAGACATATATGTGAATCTTAAATGGAAGAAATTAGGTGGCAAACAATCAAATTTTTAATAGAATAGAAAACCAAAGGCCAGCTACCAAATAAACACATAAAGGGACAGCTATTCTATGCTAGGCTATATCCCTCAAATGACATAGACATGCTGTTACCATGATACTGGGCCCAGGAGGGTCTTTTGAGCCACTTTGGAAGGGGATTTTAATGCCTTTCTGAAAATAATTTATATAAAAAAGATCTAGTAAAAGGTACGGATAAAAAATAAACAAATCTCAAACTATCAACTCAGGAACTACAATCCTAAAGAAAATCAGAGTAATTACACAAGAAAAGGCAATGGTAAAAAAATTCTAATTTTAGAAAAAGCTAAAATTATTAAGAGTTTAATTAAAGCATCATGACAGAGAAAAAAAAAGAATTTGTGATGAAGTTAGATGAATGTCAATTTGAGGTTTCCCTTGAATTAGGCTGATGAGCCCATTATTCAAATCACTTTTTCAAAGCCTATTCCATGACTAACTACTAATTAAGAGCCAACATCCCTAATGAGAGCTTTTAGCTATTTTGTCAACTAACTAAATATATTTTAAGGCAAAATGAGGTTTTCCCAAAATTAAACCTTCATTTCTTGTACGTTAAACATAAACTACCTAAAAGTGTAGCAATATGATATATGTATTTATGACAATGATGCTTACATACCTTTGCTGAAATTGCTAAAGTGCAGGCAACTCCCAGTTCTCCACCTCCAACCACAGTAATTTTCTTTACTGTTTTATTCTCATGATTTGCCCAGTTCTTTGAATTTATGTCTGAGACACCTAGAAAGAAAAAAGAATGATCGTGACAATTTAAAAATAATATCAAAAATCTTTTCAGTATCTTTCAAAAAAAAAAAATACACTAAGCTTCAACAACTTGGACAGAAAACATGGTGCTAGTCCACAATAGGTACTCAAAAATACTTGTTGAACAAATGCAATGCTAGAAAGACAGGAATCTCATAGTAAATATTCCACTAAAAAAAGGCTACCCTTTTAAAAGAAAATATCTTTCCAAACATTTAAAAATATTATATAAGACTAAAAAAAAAATCCAGGATTTCCATAATTCTGAAAAGCATTCTGATTCTTACTGCACTTGTCTAAAATGCAAAAAGTATTTAGCACCTTATAAGAATTTTGCAAGCATGGATATTTTGCTTTATACTCAGTGAGAAACAGTGAGAACCACAATTTTCTGGACCAATATACTGAAGTGAGGCAAAAAGCCACATAAACATATAATGAGAAAGGTTTGGGATCATTAATACAGGGATTGGATTGGCAAACATAGGTTTATAATTGTGAGTACATGAAACACAGAGTTTACTCTTGTATTATTTATTATTGTATTTTTTCCTTTTTTATTATTATTATTATTTCATATCCTTACTTATGATTTATCTTTTAGGTAATAATGTCTGGTAATTTAACCTACTTTCATCCACCCCTGTAAATATAAAGTGGTTTTTAACAAAACACAAATTGTTTTATCTGTCAGAATAAGAGTAATCTTTTACATGTTGTTGTTGCTGTTGTTAATCCTCACCGGAGGATATTTTTTCCATTGATTTTTAGAGAGAGTGGAAGAGGGGAAAGGAAGAAGGAAGGGGTGGGGGGAGAGAAACATTGATGTGAGAGAGAAACGTTGATCAGTTGCCTCCTGTATGCGCCCCAACTGGGGATCAAATCTGCATCTAGGTATGTGCCCTGACAAGGAAATCGAACCTGTGACCTTTTGGTTTATGACGATGCTCCAATCAACTGAGCCACACCAGCCAGGGCTAATTGTTTACATTTTAAGAAACCATATTCATTGAAACTGTATGGTAGGTAACACCCTATGATAGATGTACAGGAATTTTTTATTCAACACAAATATGTGTGTGTATATGTGAGAGTGTGTGTATATATATATGTGTGTGTGTGTGTGTGTGTGCGTATTTATTTATAAAAATAAAGTAGCAGAGAGTAAAGGCTATTAGTGAGAAGTTATAAACTCATAACTCTCTAACAAAAATACAAACCTTCAGTGATTTTTGCAATATAGGCTAGCAAGTCCACCTGCTGTGCCTCATCAGATGATGATAGAGAATACAGGGGAAGTTCCTCTTGAAACTTGGCAATCATTTCTTTAATTAGTCCTACAAGTACAGATTTAGGCTGCAGAATACACACAAAGGGAAGAGTTATGCAAAAACTTTGCTGACAAATACTACCTTTTAATCTATACATTGTTATAGTTAGCCAAAACAAAGTATTGTATTATACTTTCATTTTCTGAAAACTACTACAGAAAGTATGTGATACCTTCACCTGTTTTAATATTTTTAACTGAAAAATTACTTAATCCTTTTAACTTTTTAAAATGGAGAAATGCTAAATCCACATCTCCAAAATGTGGGAAAATAACATGAATGTGCTTACAAGCAGAGTACAGTCTGTTTTTTTTTAACTTTTTGTTTTGAAATAACTGCAAACATAGAAACACTGCAAAAACAGTACAAAGAATTTCCATATATTCCTCACCCAGATCACTAAAATTTTATCACATTTGCTTTCTTAGTATCTCTCCCTCTTTGTATTTTTCTGAACCAATTGAGAATAAACTGCAGATATGATAACTCTTCATCCCTAAACACCAAGGAATAGAGTGAAGAAATAAAATGGAGTCAGTGCAGCCAAGCTGTTAAATTACTAAAATCAAGTAGGTTTAGGCATAAAGAAATGATTCTATTCTTGTTTTAATGAGCCTGGAAACTTAAATTTTTGAATACTCCAGTCCTGTGTCAATGCCTGGATATCTGATTACCCCCTAAAGGACAAAGGAAAGTATGTTCATGTATCCAGATAAAATTTTAATACTCAGTTAAAACAAAGCACATAACAGATTATATGATTCAATTTACTAAAGGTAAAAAACAGGCAAAACTACAAATAAATACATATATTACACAAGAATCTTTAATAGAGAGGGACTAGGAGATAATGCCCAGTATCTTGCTAGTAGCTTTACACGTGCTTTATCAAGCAGCAAGCAACTGAAAAGGACAGGGAGTGAACAACAGTTGGCTCCTAGACTCAAAGAGAACAGCTCAGGCAGGCAGCTGTCATCAGGGTTCTGAGACTTGGGTGACCCCTGGGAGCTCAATTTCAAATTACTTTTAATGACCATATGAAGAATATCGTTGAAAGAAAATTCAGTAACCTATTTGTTAATTTGATTCACTAGGATCAAAGATAAATATTGAGAAAAATAAGAACTTTTCAAAGAAAATCCAAATTGACCTTACATGGCTCCAGTTCTGAAGGTAGGGCAAGTATATTCTGCCTTGAGCATCCACATGTTTTCCAACTGAGATTCCCATGTTTGCAGTTGGCTTTAAGAAGCAAATGGGAGGAGCAAAAGGGTGAGAATCCAAAATCCACAAACGAATTGGTATGTTATATGTATTACCTATTTGAAATAAAATGAACACACTTCAAATAATAATAAGGCATGCACATTTATTTATGGTATAGCTAGGTGGCATTTTAAAATGTGTAGTCAAGTTTCTATATTAAAGGACTTATGCAAACTGAGGCCTATTCCCCTTCCCCATTTCATCTACATTATCATTGGATATATGTTCCCATTAAATCACCAGCATAATATTTAAGGAAATTTAATTAAGGTATCCTATTCAATTCAATAATACAGGGCCTACTGTGTCAGAAGTTTGAGATTCACCATCTTCTCTATGTAACCTTCTTTGCTCCACCCAAGCAGAGCTACTGTACCTTTCTTGAATGGTAGTGGACACACATTTTTATACTTCTTCTGCATTTAAGTTATTTGCTTACAGTTCTGTTTTTCCTTTTACACTGTTAACTTCTTCCTAAGAGAGGATTATGTATTATTCATAATACATAATGCACCAAGTATAGTGCCTAATGTACTAGCTGCTCAATAAAAGTTTCTTATATAATTAAGAATGACTGAATTAATAAATAAATGAAGAAACTAAATGAATGAGTAAAGATGAATTTGATACTAGCCCTCAAGTTGCTCACTAATTGCTGGTACTTTACACACTAGTTTTAATTCATAGAACTTAGAGCTGAAAATAACCTTAATGGTCACCTTGTCCAGTGGTTCTTAATTTTAGTGTACTGAGACAGGAAGTTCTGTGTATGCTTTTCCAATTGTAATCATGTATGTCATGCCTACCGAGAGCCAAAATCTGACTGCCTTGGTTGCCAGGAAGCCCAAAGCTAAAACTAATGTTAGTATAAAAACTAAACTTAAATAGAAATCTGATCAACTACCTTTGCTGCTTTATTGTATCTCCTGATATTTATTCCTGTTTTCATTAGTCTTACTGCATATGTCTTTCATCATACTTAAGAACATGCATGCTCAGAAGCAAGAATGCAGAGGTTTCAGACTACTAGCTATATAATTTTAGGCAACTTAACTTCTCTGTGTCTCAATTCCTTCCTCTATAAAATGGGAGTAATAATAGCTCCTACCTCATAGGGTTGTTGTGAGGGTGAGATTAGTTAATGTATATAAAATGCTTAGAACAATATACAACACTGTAAGTACCATGAAGGGTTGGCAATGTTTGCATTTTGAAAATAGGCCAGGTATAAATAAAAATAGTTTTCTTTTCCACTGCAACCCTTATCTTACTAAGGAAATCCTCCTTTCACTGAAAGTTACTTTTTTCATCTTTCATCTTACTCCTCCCCTAAGCCAATGATACCCAGAGGTGTCTGCAAATTAGAAACATTTAAGGAACTTGGAAACATACCAAGATCCAGGCCACTCCCCCAAAATTTCTGATTCAATGGGATGGGGTCTGGATATCATTTTTTAAAAGCTTATTATGTTCCTATTAGAAAATAATTCTAATATTCAGCTAGGACTGAAAATTGGTACATTATAGAAATGTCCTAATACCTGGGACATTTATAGAAATGTCCTAATAGCTGGTCTACTATTTCATATCAGCAGTTCTTAGAACCATACTCTTCTTCTACTTTTCTCTATTAAAAAAATGTTTTTATTGAGGTATGTCACTACAAAAAGTCTAGTTAACATCCATTACCATACATAGTGTCTAAGTATTTACAATATAGGTATAGATAGGCATAGCTATTGGTTTGTAGTTAACTATGATTATAAAGTTATGTGATCATAGCACCACAAAGTGACCATTTGTATTGGCCCATTTGATAGATGAGAAAGATAATACATTCTGATCTTCTGATCAGCAAGAAATAACTACTGTGTATCACACTGAGTTGATATAATTCTAGTCAAAAGCAAAGGGGGGAAAAACGTACTGTCAATAAAAAGGTATTGCAGGTACCATTACTACCTTGAAAGACCCAGCCAGCATAAGAATCAATGATATAACTCTGTAGCACTAGGAGAGTCAGAGTGCCAATGAGGGGCATCTTACCAATAGTAGTAAGATAACTTTTATGTTCTCCCGTTACCTCCCCACACTGTCCTAGAAACTGAAATGCTACTAAACAATGATTGGTTTAAATTCACAAGCTCCTGTGTTAATATGCAAATACCCTTGAAATTACTGGGATGGGTAAGAATTGTGAAATCAATCAACCAACCAGTTGATGAGGTGGACAGGAATTCTTTCTCTGTCTTTTTAACATCTAACCATAAGAAATGTAGAACACAAGTAATGGGGAACAGGCCTGAATAAAGTTCTCCAGGCAGCCAGAAAATAGTATGACAGCTTGGTAGGAGAGGAGCATGGAATAAAAATAAAAATCAACCCTATGCCTGTTCTGCCTACCTCTGCAAATTCTGGAGAGCCCATTGCTACATACTTTCATCTCCAACTGCATTCCTGTGTGTAAAAACCAAGCTAAATTCCTATGCATTTCCTAAACCAAAGGAGGTGTCATGGTGGCGCATAACTGAGGCAGAATAAAACATGAGTGCACCTCTAGCAATAAGTCACTGGGAAAGGAGTAGGATTAAGGAAGGTTTCTAACAATCTAGGAATTACCATAATGAAGCACCTACTTTGAAAAAGTCCCTCAAAATATAGCTTCTTGGTGTCTTTTGGGCAATGTATTTTCATCACACAGTGCTCAACCCTTTGTAAGAGACAGCAAACTCCACTGTTCTCTCCCTATTTGGATTCCAGATCCTCCTCAGCCCTTTTTCAGTGCACTTCCTCTTTCAAATGTTCAGTAAATTAATTTATTCCTAAGCCTTTCAGTCAGTAATAAACTAATGCAATCATTTAACAAGTACTTACCAAGTGTTTCCTATAAGCACAACACTGTATATTATGATTTTGGATGTTATTCCTCCTGGGATTCTTTGCATTTTAAAGGAGAAATTAATTTTTAGTGGTGGAATTTCAGGCACCACTTCATAGAAATATATTGGAACCAACACTTCACTGGTGTTCTTCAAATCACACTATATAAACAATCTCCTGCGATATCTGTCTTAAAGGTTAGTCCTCTTGAACATTGGAGGCAGTAGGTCTGGACAAAGAGGAGGAGTTATGTATAGTAAAGTTAATGATTTTTTATTTCTTTTTGGGAGAACACTTAGCTATTTTAGCCTGTCAGGTCAGCTAAAATATGTTGTTCTCTTTGAGCTTTAATGACTCCTGTGTTTTAAATTTTCCTGTTGGGAGTTTGAAGTTCTAGCCTGATACCAGATGTGTGGTGTTAGGTAAATCACTTGACCAGGCTTAGACTCTGTTTCACCTATAGAATGAGGATAATGCTATATCATTCAGAGGAAAGGAAGAGGAACTCTTCATTGACGTAATAAAGAAAAAGGTGGGGATTCCCATGGTCTGCTATGGAAAACAGGGATAATTTTCCATTACAGCAGACCCATGTCTGTCTTGCTCTCCTCTGAAACCTAGCACCTAGCAGAGTAGTGGACACATAGTTGACATTAAATATTTACTGAATTGAGTATGTTGATATTAATTTAGACCTTCCACAACTGGTTCAGTAATCTGCTATATTCAATAAGACTCTGTATAAGATCATATACACATCAAAACACTTTGAGAACATTATGGCACTAAGTAAATTTAAGTTCTTATTAAACTGCTCTTTTAGAAAATTCCCACAATTTCTCAGCTTCCACACTTACCCTGATACTTCACAGGAACAGTGCCAGTGAAATTCAGCAAGTCTTTCTGGGAACTATCTTTGAAAACTGAAAGAAAAAAAAAGCCTCAAAATGTGCAATCAGAAGTAGGAAAGGGAGTCAAAGTCGACTCAATAGCAGGTAACACACATATGACATAACACATATTCAGAAACACATAATTTCTAAACACCATCATCTAGGAATCAGTACAAATGTTGACAAAGGAAGATTACTTGATTTTTTGTTTTGTTTTAGAAAGCAGAGCAGGTAAGTGAAAGAACACAGAACTTGTTTTTTTTTAAATCCTCACAGGAGGATATTTTTTCCATTGCTTTTCAGAGAGAGAGTGAAAAGGAGAGAGAGAGAAACATCAATGTGAGGAAGATATCGACTGGTTGCCTCCCGCAAGCACCCCAACCGGGGCCGGGATCGAGCCTGCAACCAAGGTATGTGCTCTTGGCTAGAATCGAACCTGGGACCCTTCAGTCGCAGGCCAAACCAGCTAGAGCAGAACATAAGACTTTTGACACTGAAATCCCAAGTTCTAGGCCCACCTTCCACACTTAGAGGCATGTGACTTTTGGTTACTTTCATCTCTTTGACCTTCAGTTTGATCATCCATAAAATAAAGATAATAAGACTGTGTCATAAAGTTATCATAAGGATCGAATGAGATAATGTGAAAAGTAAAGGATAATAAAATGTGGGGACATTAGCAAATAATTGTCACATCTAACAAATCAGTTACAACCATTTTCAGAAATCAGATTATAACTTTTATAATAAGAAAAAAAAAGTTAGCTTTACTTTTGTTTTTTTAATCTCACCCAAGGGTATTTTTCCATTTCTAGTGGAAGGGAGGAAGAAAGGGAGGGGGTGGGAGAGAGGGAGGAAGAAAGAAAGAGAGAGAGAGAGAGAGAGAGACATCGATGTGAGTGAGAGAGATACATCAATTGGTTGCCTTCCAAAAAAGCCCTGACCAGGGCTGGGGATCGAGCCTGCAACCAAGGTACGTGCCCTTGGCCAGAATCGAACCTGGACTCTTCAGTCTGCAGGCCGATGCTCTAACCACTGAGTCAAACCAGCCAGCTTAATTTTTGAAAGTGACCTTTTAGAAAGATCAATAATTATTTTCTTTTTTTAAAGTATGTTTTTATTGATTTCAGAAAGAGGAAGGGAGAGGGAGAGATAGAAACATCAATGATGAGAGAGTCATTGATCGGCTGCCTCCTGCACTCCCCCAATGGGATCTAGCCTGCAACTTGGGTATGTGCACTGACCAGGAATCAAACAGTGATCTCCTGGATCATAGGTTGATGCTCAACCTCTGAGCCACACCAGCCTGGCAATAATTATTTTCTTTGGTTTCTCTAACTTCATTATTCTCAACCTTTATTCAGTCTTCACATCCCTGAAATTTCAACTTGCCCATCAATAACTGGGACACACTGGTGGAGAACTGATGCCTCTAAGCAGAGGGCAAGACAGACATGGGTACAAACCCCAACTCCATCCCTAACTAGCTGTGTAGTCTTGAGCAATTTATTTAAACTCTCTGAGCCTTGGTTTCTTTATCTGAAAAAATTAAGATGATAATACTTACCTCACAGCTTTGGTTGTAAAAAAAAAAAACAGGTCAGAAAATATAGATAAAACATTTGGAAGCACATCTGGCATTCAATAAGTAGTAGCTGTTACATCCCCCATCCTAGGCACTTACGCAAAACCAAATAATTAGGTGCCAATCAAAAGATACCAGTCACGGATGGGCCAGAATCTAATAATTTCTTCCACATATAAAATCATCTATTCCTAAGAAATACTTCAATAACTCCTCAAAACTTCTAATATATAAATCTGAATTAGATACATTTTCTTAACCCAGACTAATTCAAATATAAAACATACCCATGTAGAATAAAGAAGTTTTTCAAAACAATATGTTTTAACTAATTCATGGGTCCTGAAATTAATTTAGTGAGTCTCAATCAGCATTTGTTTTTAAATGGAAAGAAATAAATAAAGGAGAAAATTCCAGAGTGCTCACAGTCTTTTAATTACATGTGGGTTGTGGTCAGACATTTTTGAAAGATAGTAAACTCTTTCTTAGGTAGCCAGCCCCTCTGTACTAAGTGAACAAGATAACTAAAACTTTGTTATTAATAATTTTGAATCAACCATGTATGTGGTAGGCAGAATAATGACCTCCAAAGATATCCAATACCCTAATCCTTGGAACCTGTGAATATGTTAACCTTACTTGGCAAAGAGAATTTTTAGATGTAATTAAGTTAAAGACCTGAGATGGGAAATTATCCTGTATTACTGGAGTGGACCTAATCTAATCACACTGGTCCTTAAAAGCAGGGGACCTTTTCTAGCTATGGATAGAAAGAGATTTGATTACAGAAGGATGGTCAGAGAGATGCAATGTTGCTAGCTTTGAAGATAGTGGAAAGAGACCTGGGGCCAAAGAATGAGGATGACCTTTAGAAACTGAAAAAGGCAAGGAAATGGATTCTCTCCCAGAGCCTCCAGAAAGGATCTGAGACCTGCTGACATCTTGATTTTAGCCCAGACTTCTAACCTACAGAGAGGTAGTAAATATGTGTTGTTTTAAGTCATTAAATTGTGCTAATCTGTTACAGCAGCAATAGAAAATTAATGATATAAAGTATATTAACTTAAATTTCCTCAGAAATCACAGGTCCCCAAGTATGGTTTAAAATCGGGGATAAAACAGAGAAATTTTGTAGTTCTTTAGGAACAAATAATTAATAGTTTATATAATGTAGCAAAAACTAGAGAATAAGATTCTTACCATAGGTGTCCATGGAATATCTGAAATGTGGGAAAAACATATTTACATTCTTTAGTTCTTCCACAGTTAGATCCCTGAACTTGTACTGAAAAGAGAAAAATGAGCATGGAATAAGAATAAATCTATAGACAACAGAACAATTACAATTAACATTTAACTGAACACTTACTATGTACTAGGCTCTGGGCATTGAGTTTTACAAACATGAATAGTATTTGATTTAACCCTATGAAGATGAAAATGAAAGCTAGAGAATCAAAATAACCTGCTGAATTAGACAGCAAGTTAAGTAGGGAAGCCAGAGCTCAAACCTAGGACCTGGGCCTTTAAACACTAAATCAAACTGCCTCCAAATACCTCCTGAAGGCTTAAGAAGTAGGGCAGGGTGTATCTATCACTCCTGTCACCACTGTTCAAGATCCAACTCTTACTCTTGAATACCTCATTCATTCACTTTGAGACACCTTGAATTTCCCTTCCAACCCTTCTGGTACTGCATGTTGGGTTTCAAAGGGAGAATAGAAAGCATGCAAGGGTTTGCAGTCAGACTGAGTGAACCATCTCCTCATTCATCCAGATATACTCCCAGAAACACTACCTTGGTTGCCCTGCAGGCAAAATAATTTAATTTCTTTGAGCTTTCTCATTTGCAAAGAGAAATAATACCCACCTTGTAGACTTGTGTTGAGGATTAAACAAAAAAGAAGTATGTTAAGGGTCTATTACCATTCTAAAAATGATTTTGAGAAAATATTTATATTTACAACAGCATCAAAAAGAATAAAGTACTGGGAAATAAATGTAACAAGATGCAAAACTTAAGACTCTAAAACCTACAAAACACTGTTGAAAAAAATTAAAGTAGGTATAAAAAGAAAAATGTCCCTTGTTGATAGATCAGATACTCCCCAACACATTCAGTAATCAACAATCCTCACAAAATCCCAGCTGGGTTTTTTAAAAAATTTGTTTGCAAAATTTTTTTAAGTGATTCTTAAATTCATATGGAAACTCAAGGGACCCAGAACAGCCAAAATAATCTTGAAAAAAGAACAAAAAAGTTGGAGGATTCATACTATAATCAAAAGACAAACTATATATATATATATACATATAAAAGATAGACAATAACAAGTGTGGGAGAGGATGTGGAAAAATCAGAACCCTCATATACATATACCACTGCTAGTGGTAATATGGTGCAGCTGCTTTGGAAAAGTCTGGCATTTACTGAAAGATTAAACCCAGAGTTAACATTCAACCCAGCAATTCCACTCTGACGTATATACCCAAGAAAAATGAAAACACGTCCACACAAAAACTTGTGCACAACTGTTCATAGCAGCATTATCAACAGCCCAAAAGTAAAAATAATCCAAATATCCATCAGTTGATGAGTGGATAAAATGTAATATATCCATAAAATGGAATATTCAGTCATAAAAATAAAGAACTGATATATATACTACATGGGTGAACCTTGAAAACATGCTAAGTGAAAGAAACCTGACACAAAAGGTCACATATTGTATGATTTATATGAAATATTCAGAATAGGCAAATCCATAGAAAGAGAAAGTACATTAGTGGGTGCCTAGGGCTGGGGGAGATTGGGAGAAAATGGGGAATGACTGCTAATACATCCTGATACCTCTCTTTGAGCCTTACTTTTTTTATGTACTAAAGAGAGAGCTCTACAATTTCAACAGGTGTGTGTGAGGATCTCATGATTAACATATATAAAAGTGAGATATTAAACAAAATATGTACACAAAAACAGTACAGACCAGAAACAATGAAACAACATAAAGCATATCTAAGTTACAGAAAGGCCTCCAAGAAGAGCTATCTACAATTCACCTTAGAGTCTAGAATGATACGGAAAATTAGAGGGAAGATACTTTTCTTCCTATAAGGCCATTTTAAGATGGGAAAGAATTTGGCAGAAGAAAAAGCCTATGATTATTACAACTCGAGGGCAGGAATCATCCTTTCTTCATCTCTGTATCTCCCCACAGCACTTAGCACAGGGTATGCTTTTAACAAATGTAGGCTGATTGGATAAGAGTTAACAAAGAGACAGATTTATATGAAGACAGTGGATGTAGAAAGCAATTGTGATCCACAGGACTGAGCATCAAAACTAAGAACCATCAGTATTAACTACAGGAGGGTGAAATGAGCCCTAGATTCAGTGTCCCTGATTCAGGATAAACAAAAGTGAATGAAATCATGCCAACTCCAAACGCTACACAAATGTACAAAAGGTTGCATTGTTGTCACCTGGAATATACATTTATTTGAACCAAAACAATTTGTTTTGTTTTCTACTTAATCTTATAAGCTGTTTTCTACATCCTTAACATCCTGTGAGAAGGTGATTATTAATGGCTAAAATGATCGATATACCAGAAATGATTTAATTGCAAAACTGCTATAAAAGTTTGCCCAAAGAGGGCAAAAGCACTCTTCCTTAGGGCTTGAAAACCCAAGTCACTACTACTAGTCAAATATGTGATTTGCCTTTTTGACACCTAAAGAAAAAAAGATCCCTTTTATGTACTTAAAAAAATAGGTCATTTTCACTATATGAAACACTATCTTCTTAGTGTAATATTTAAAAAAAAATTTTTTTTTCCGAAATTGATTTTGAGAGAGGGGGGAAAGGAAGAGGGAGAAACATGGACTGGCTGCCTCCTGCACTACCCCACCTGGGGATCAAACCCACAACCCCCTGACAGAGAATCAAATCCTTCACCTTCTGTGTACAGGACAATGCTTCAGCCAACTGAGCCACACCAGCCAAGGCTTTATGCCTTATTTTTAAAAAGTTTGCATACTCTGAGTCCATAAAGATTCTCCTCTACATTTATCTCTATACAATTTAAAACTTGTCATTTATATTTAAATCTTTAATCCACAAGGAATTTTTAAGTTTGGTAAAAGGTAGGAATCCACTTTTATTTTTTTCCCCATATGGATAATCACTTGTCCCTGTATTTTCCTTTCCGTAGTTATCTGCAGTGCCTCTTCTGTTTTATATTGAAGTTTAAAACGTGTGAAAATGATTCTACGCCCTCCAGTCTTGTTCCACTGGTTAATTTGTCTATCCTATACCAACACCACAATAAATCTTAATCACTAGTCCTGGCATCTGGTAGAGCAAGTCTCCATATCTACTCTTCTTCTGTAAGAATGTCAAGATTATTCTTGGCCTTCTGCCTTTCCAAATAAATTTTAGAATCAGCTTGAAAAGTTCCCAAAATAACATTAGAATTTCAATTGGATTTGCATTGACTCTAGAGATCAATGTGGAGCCCTGGCCAGGTAGCTCAGTTGGTTAGCGTCCTCCGGATATAAGTTGTGGGTTTGATCCCTGGTCAGGACACATACGAGAAGCAACCAATGAATGCATAAATTAAGTGGAACAACAAATTGATGTCTGTCTGTCTCTCTCCCTTTCTAATTAATTTTTAAGAAAATCAACCAATAAATGAATTAATAAGTGGAACAACAAAATGGATGTTTCTCTGTTTTATCCTCTCTAAAATTAAAATTTTTTATTAACTATAAAATTAAATTTAAAAAATCTGGAGAGGGCTGATTTCGTCATAGTCATGAAGTTGGAATATTTATTTAGGTTGAAATATTTAGACGTTTTATTTGTTTCCAATAAAAAAATTTCACATTCTCCATACAGTTGCTTGATTTTAATGTATTGTTCACAGATTTTTCAGCACTAAAATTAATTCTAGAAATTAAGTTATTATATTAGTTTCCTAGTATGAGGGCTAAGGAACTTCAGAAATATTAGCAGGACTGACTTGTTTCTAACTAGTTTCCTTAATTTACATACCCAACAAATATTAAGCACCTATGCGCCAGACTTTATGTTTTGCACTGATGATAAAAAAAATTCTTCTAACCATCTACTCCGCCCTTGAACAAAATCACTCACTCTCTTGTCTTTTTCCTTCATTCCACCTCCACCCAAATTATTAAGTTTTTTTTCTACTATCAATTTTAACAATTCTTCCCATTGGACATAATACATCATGCTCCCTCGTTTAAAAACTTAATGGAGTGTTGTTGTTTTTTAAATTTCATGTCTGAAGAGAAAATAGAACTCTAAGCATGGTTATATTTTTCTTCCTACAAGATCTACACCCGACACAGCAGATCAAGTCATTCAAATCGATTACATATATAAACAATTTCAATCATGAGGCTTCAAAATCTCCCATAGGTGTGCCAACTGCCCCAAAGAAGAAAGATTTTTGTTGTTTGTAAATCCAACAAAAATGGCATAAATGGATGGTTTTCCCATGGCGGACGTCTTAAGAAACATTAAGAATCACTTAACCAGAAAACTGGTGAAAAGGCGGGAAGCCTCAGACTATCCCAGGCCGAGGAATCAGGGACCCTGGACTAACCCGGACTAACCCGGAATCTCGCGCTAGTAATGCCCCAGAAACGGAGGCGAGACTCGTGGGTCGGCCCTCCCGGCCGGCCCTTCAACGTCCAGGGGGTCTCCCCGGCCTTCGCGCCCCGGCCATTCCCAGTCTACTCAGGGCGCTCGTTCGCCGCAGTTCCCAGCAGCCCCGCCGCCGTGAGGCGCAGGGCTGGGCGAAGCCGCGTCTCGGGCGTCGCAGCTCAGAAGCATGAGTAAGGTTTGTCAATAAATAATGACTCCAAGACGTGATCATCGGTATTTCTGAAAGCAAGGAGAGAAAAGGGGGCGATTCCACCTCCCAGGGACGGACATCTGAGTTGGGTCTTACAAAGGCTGAGCACTGCAAGTCCGTCAAGAAAAAATGGGACCGGCCAGGCGGACAGAAAAGGGAGCGGTTGGGGGACAGGCGAGGGCCAGAAGCCGTCTGAGACCAAGAGAAGCTGGAGGCGTAAGAAGGTCTCACACCGGTGGAGGTTGGGGGAGCTCGGAGTTGCGGGTGGAGCCCTAGCGCGGGCCTTGGGAGGGAGAGGCCGGTGGCTTCCCGAAGCCGACCTCGGGCCAGTCGTCCTCGGCTCCCAGCTCCGCGACGAGGGGAGCACACGCCGCTAGGAGGTAGCCTGGCCACGGGTGGAAACGCCCCAGACACCCTGAGGCCTCGCCCCAGCCCCAGCGCGGCGGGCTGCCCGCACCTTGCCCAGCAGCCGTCTCAGACCCTCGCAGTCGAACTCCATCTCCAGCCGGGTTCCCGCGTCAGGTTCCGCGACCCAGCCCTGGACTTGCTCTCGCACCGGCTCCCGGACGGCGGCCGCCGAGGACCAAACCTCCCGGGCGGCGCAAGGCCCCGCCCCTTCCCAGGCTCGAAGTCCGCCCGCGTTCCACGCCCGGGCCTCGGCGGGGCGC